CACATACATTATCAAGGTGTTGGAGCTGGGTTGTCTTTTCATTCTGAAGAAGAAAAGGAAATTAGTGAGAAACCAAGCATCTATAAGAATTATTAAAAAGTCTGTGAACTTTGTTTTGGTCCCAGCAGCTGAGCTCAGAGTTGAACACCTTCAAGTCATCAACACAGGCCGGGGTCACACAGTTTTCTTAGAAGGAGGAATACAGGAGAATATCTCATTGAAAAAACACAGCTGTGTGTGCACACACACTCATTCGCACATGCTTGCACACATGCAAAAGTGTGCACGCACACACACTTTTTCTTGATCCAGCTGGGGTGTTAATTTCACCCCAAGGCTGTGTGAGTGTTGACCTCAAAACTTTGCAACCTCGTGAAGTGAGGAATTTTCTCAGCCTGCGGCTGTAATGTGCTGTTTCCTGTTGGGGAAGAATACATTCTTTTGACTTGTCCCATTCCTCTCCGCTTGCTATAAACCTATGGTCTTTGGGTGGTTGTCCACAACTTGGAAAGTGTTCAAACTAGACAGTGAATTCTTCCTACCATCTTTTCTCAATTATATGTTACTCAATGAACTCACGTGTTGAAACCATTTGAAGATTACTATGCATCTTTCTTCATACCTGTGCACTTTTCCCTCCTGTTAGCAGTGCTTTTAAACCGGGTCTCGGACTAACTTTGCCTTTGAGGACTGAGTGTATCAGACGTTGACTTGTTAGTGCCCTGTCAGTGCTCGTCGGGTCTTAATCAGTTCCATGTATGCTCTTTCGAACGCACAACTGGTGTAACGTAGCTGTGTAGCTGGCCCAGCAATGAAAAGCATGTCTCTCCAGTTAGCCAAGGCCTGCTATTAATGATGAGTATTATAAACATGCTTTCAGACAGGATCTGATGAGAATGCTGTTTGCGTCCAGAAAAAAAAGAAATCAAGTGTGTTTTCCTAATGCCTCGAGACATGGCCCCCTCCTTCCCTGTTTCATTGGTCTAACTGGGTGGTCCAGCCCAGCAGAACTGGCATGCTTATGTTCAACTTTAATGTCATTACAATGAAGTAAAAACATTCAATCTATGCCTGCTGTTTGCGCGAATTGAGCTGAATTATTAAATTGGATTAAGGCGTAATAAAATGTTACAGATTTTTCACACAGTCTACTCTCACTGGACATCTTTCAGGTTGTGTGTGTGAGAGAGAGATGGAGAGAAGTGATCAAGCTTTCACTGAACATTTACCGGTAGTCTCTGGTAATGGAAGGGCTCAAATCCTCTGCTTGTAAATCAAACACTCTGACCTGGAAGATGCATTCAGACACTCCGATACCTTACTGGACCAAAAATCAAATGTGCAAAAACTTCATACATTCAGTAGATTTCATCTCTGTGCTGCAGTTTTTTAAAATGTTTGCGAGAGAAACTTTGTCTTACTTTACCTGGCTGTATTGGGTTAGTCTCACCACAATACTCTGAGCAAACAAAAGAGAGCCCCTTTTCACTGACTTTGGGTAAAAACAGTTGTTTAAAATGTAGACTTTTGAGGACGATATTGATTTTCTGGATTGGATAGAGATTTTATCTAAGGTAAAACTCTGATCATCTCAAGACATGGTTTACAGGAAGAGTAGAAAAATACTTAAGCTGCAAATGCTTAAACACTAACAATGCTTATGAGTGTGCAGATAGTTTAAAATAGGCTGCATTGATACTTGTACTTATACTGTGTTGGTAAAGCTGTATATGCATTGTAAGTATTAGATGAAATAATACGAATGTTCTTGCGTCTTGCATTGAGAATAAGGGCGAGTACAGCTTTCTGTTCTGAACTAAAACAAAAAGCCTTCCTAAATTGCTTTGCTGCTCAACCTGGCATTTATTAAATAAAAAAAAGTAACTGCTGCCTGTTAAAAGACAGACAAAGTCACACCCTGAATAAACTGCTCATGGCACATTTTGTTGACGACGTTTAAAAACATTAAAGTGATCCTGTATATGCCCTGAGATGACTTCTGTTGTAACTTGGCGCTATATAAATAAACTGAATTGAATTGAATTAATTTAGACTTGAGTTGACTGTGGGTGGTATTTTTCAACAATAGACCTGATAAAGAACGTTTGTATAAAGAAGTTATTAAGTATTACTAGGGTTGCTGTCTTGTCTGTAAACATAATTTTTTTACAAGGAAAATCTAAAGTTCAGATTAATATACTGAACTATACTTGAGGTTTTTTGTGTTTGGCACAAGAAGATTTGCTATAGATCGTTTGTGGTATGTGATGTTCATTCTCTGTTAAGGGAAATGTATTATCCTATATTGTACGGGTCCCCGTCCCCCGTCTGCAATAATCCCCGAATAGATGAGCACCCTGCCAAGGCAAGTGACCTAGAGGAAACACTGACGTGGTAAAATATATATGTTTTTTTTTTTAACTTGGAATCACACTGAATTATGTAGTTGCACAAACCCCAAAGCAATCTTTGGCCCAGGATTTGCCAGGATTTTGCACACATATATTAAAATAATTGTAAGAG